GGCCAATGTTGTCATATGTTATTATTTAGTGTTTAATAAAAGTGTTAATTGAAGTAAATGAGTTTGTTTAGTCCAGGTGATGTGATGAAGCAGTCTCTTCTCTTAAATGTCAGCAGATCAAACAGGCAGGAGAGCAGCAGGTGTCACATCTCATCAGGTCTGAGGGACTAAACAGATCCGTTTTTTATCAACTGACTTCAAATAACAGAGGAAAACAATCACATGGCTGAAATACCACAGCTCCAGTTTACCTGAGTGTTGTTGTAAAAATAAGTGACTTTGGGTACAGTAGGATGTATTATTTTACATGGTTGAAGGATTTTTATAAACATAACTAAAATCTGGAAAGCCTGAAGAAGAGGACATGATCTGGGGTCAGATTTATAAAGCTTGCATACGCACAAAACGAGCCCAGAAACTTGCGTACGCCACTTTTCACGCCAAGGTTGTGATTTRTAAAAKMCAAACTTGACGTGAAAATGTGCAGTGCCTCAYGCCAGCTCTGACYCACAGGGTRGATCAGACCTTGAGGATCTTCTCTTACAAACAGGACACTCCTGTGTTGGTTTCTGTCTCCACCAGTTCTTCACACARACTTTACAGAAGCTGTGGCTACATGACAGGACAACAGGATGTCTGAAGACCTCMTGACAGACCAGACAGCAGAGATCCTCCAATGATCTTGAAGCCATGTAGACTCTGAGTGAAGCTGAAAAGCCAGCAGACAGAAAGTCCAGTCAGTYCTGGCTCCCCTCCCTCATCTAACGTCCATCACAGTGTCTCTGAGTGTTTTTGCTGCGACTCATCTTCAGTGTGTGGAGTGTGAGCAGCTTCAATCAGCAGCTGGACTCAGTCAGTCTGCTCTGAARCTCCGGATCATCCTCTTCATGAGCATGTGACTTGTGGCCATGCTTCAAAACTGGACTTCCTGTGACTTTCTTTCTTGCCTCTCTTTTTTATGCTTCTTAGAATAATCTTCTCATTGCCTGGCCTGACAGTTTAGTTATATCAGAGGTGGGCAATTCTTTATTTTTCCCCAGGGGCCACAAGAGAAATTTGAGCTATGTTGGAGGGCCAAAACCAACAATACTTAATTCTGCTTAATAGTCATTTTTAATCCATGTTAAGAGCAGTAAATTAAATATTTTGATTAGCTGCTACTGCTAATTAGCATTAGCAGCTACTTTACGTTGTTTTATCACATTAAAGTTTCAGTAAAATAATTAGAGTTCATGATAGTTGGGAAAATCTAAAAAATAAAAAAATGCATCATAGAAAAAAAAAATTGTTCTCAGAGCAGCAATAGGATCGAATTAGAAGTCAACATGAAATGGCTTCTCTGTTAGTTTGGCTAAATACCCATTAATACGACTTACCATGTGACAGCTCATCTAAGCCCCAATCAGAAGTTAAGCTTTAATTGATTATTTCCAATAAATGAATTTGAACAAGRGGCCTCTTGTATTAAATTACTTCCTTATAAGCTTTTAAAAGGAGGGGAAGTTCTTCTTCTTAATTCTGCTTCTGTCTCTCTGCCAGATCWCTGCAGACTTTATCTTTATTTGTCACCAGTTAAAGATGCAAACCATCAGGTAAGATTTTTTTCAAATGTTTTTTTAGACATTTCAGTTTAGTATTAAAAAAATGTTCAAGTCTTCCTCATTTTCAATTCTTCAGGTCTCTGTTCATCCCAAAATGGTCATCAGACGTAGGTCTGGAGGGGAAAACGGCTGTAATAACAGGAGCAAACACTGGAATAGGCAAAGCAGCAGCTAAAGACCTCGCTGCAAGAGGCAATAAACACGCTCATTTTAAGATTAGTTATTTTTCGGTTTTCATTTGCATTTGGTTTCTCAGACTAGCTGTGTTGAACAGTTTAAAACTTTAATTTGTGTTTACCAGGCTTCTTCACATTTTTCTTTTTTTTCCAAGACTCAWTTTTCAAATTTTGCTTGTGGGTGCATGCAACCCATTTCAGCATTAATTCATCAGTTTTGTTTCATTTAATAGGTGCGCGGGTGATTTTGGCGTGCAGAGACATGACAAAAGGAGAACAAGCTGTTTCAGAGATCATGAAGGAGGTAAATGGAGCCAAAGTTGTTGCCCAGCAGCTGGATCTGGCTGACACCAAATCGATCTGCCTGTTTGCTGAGAGTATCTACAACAGTGGGTGTCAATGCATGCTCACACATTTACAGGATCTCCAGTATACTGTATAAAAAACGAAATGCACATAAAAATATCTGGTTTTCCAGCTGAAAAGGCCCTTCACTATCTGATCAACAATGCAGGCGTGGCTATTTGTCCTTATGCTAAGACAGTGGATGGATATGAGTCACAGTTTGGAGTCAATCACTTAGGTATTTTTCTTTGCAATGCATTTAACTACAGTATGTATAATCATACATTCTATATAACTGTGTTTTCCTTGCTGCCTCCTCAGGTCATTTCTTCTTGACTTTCCTGCTCTTGGACTTGCTGAAGCACTCGGCTCCGTCTCGAGTCATCAACGTGTCGTCGTCAGCTCACGCCATGGGCAAAATCCAGTTTGACGACCTGAACGGGGAGAAGAATTACCACCCTGTCAGGGCTTACGCTCAGAGCAAGCTCGCCAACGTGCTGTTCACCAGAGAGCTGGCCAAAAGGACCGAGGGTAGGGTGTGTGTCTGTGAATAACGGACAGCGCAGAGCTGAACGTTTGACTGTGTGAATCTCCCACTTCCACCCTCTCTCCTTTGTGTACGTCAGTGTGAGAGTCTCATGCCTCAACCACAACTGCTCCGGGCTGCAAACAGAGCAAACAGAAACCTCTTTCTGGAAAACAGAGTTGTCTGAAATAATCATACCTTCAGAGCTATGCGTTGTTTGACATCTTTTCTTAAAATCTTGGCATTAACTGTTGATTTCATCCCTGTTTGTTAAAGGATCAGACAAACCACTGGTTGGGTTTCAGTGAAACTCAGATAGAAATATTTTGCTCTCTACTCAAATCAGCCTGAATATGGCCGCTATAGCTAATTGATATTAGCTAACACAACTAAACTTAGTTAGTTTTACATATTAAAATTAATATTTAATTAATATTTGGTGTGCCATGAGCTGAAAGTCATTAACAAATGGTGTGAGGTTTGACCTAAATAGCTATAAATCCTTCATTTCTCAACATGTCTGGGAGATATGGTGTCCTCCAAGTATACTTGAAGTTAATTTTAATAAGTATACTTGATTATAAGTTTAAGTATGTCAAGTATACTAGGCACCATGTACTTGTAGTGTACTAGAAAGCATACTGATTTAATACTTACTCGTACTAAAGTGGGATTTTTAAAAATTTATTAAAAGTTTACTTTAAATATACTGTTATTATTTCTTTTTAAGTTTATAAATTTGCCAAAAAGGAGTATACTTTAAGTACAAGTCATTAAGTGCACTAAAGTATATAAAGGTGTTTCCATGAATTTATTTTTTTTTACCATGTACATGGATATAAATTGCATTTTACTAACAAATATACTTCTAGGACTAAATTGTCCCACAATAAGTTTATGAAAATATACTCAGAAGTACGCATACTGATACTTTAGTTATTGTAATTTGAAGTTTGTTTTTGATTGATTTCATTTGAGGAAAAAAAGGGGCATATATTATAAGATTTTGTCTTCTTCTGCTGCCTTTCATTTATTTATGATTTGTATTTTAATTATATTGAATTTATGTTGTTTTTAATGAAATGAATGAATAAACAACAACAACAACACTATTA